TGTGTGTGTGTGTGTGTGTGTGTGTGTGTGTGTGTGTGTGTGTGTGTTTTTTTATATCCACATTTGCACAAGGATTTAGTCTGCTTTAGACTATGGCTCTCTCTTTCACACGCACACACACACGCACGCACACACACACACACACACACACACACACACACACACACACACACTCTCCTTGGACCAGCAGCCTGTGTGCCAGAGATAGCATTATGAAGTGAAGGTATTATTGTCAGTGTCCAGGGAGTGCTTGTGTACCGAAGAGCCAACAGTGGGCAGTGCTGGATTGCTGTCTGCTTGGCACAAGTCCTCACTCTTCTTCTCCCTTCCTCTTCACCTCCTTCTCTCTCATCTGCCTTCTCTCTTTCCTTCATTTTCTGCCCCTAACGTCACCTATATGTTCATCTTCGCCTCTCCTCACCAACACTTTTCTCTTTACTGTTTTCCCAAGCTCTTCCCTGTGACTCCAGTCATTTCTTGCTCTTAATCTCATTCACCTCTCTCCTCTCCTCTCCTATCCTTTCATCCTATCATCTCCTTTCCTTTCCTCTCCTCTCTTTCTTGTCCCTTCTTCTCCTTTCATCTCATCTCCTTTCTCATCCTCTCTTCTTCTCTCCTCTCCTCTCTCATCCTCTCCTCTCCTCTCTCTCATCCTCTCCTCTCTCATCCTCTCCTCTCTCATCCTCTCCTCTCTCCTCTCCTCTCTCTAGTCCTCTCCTATCTCCTCTCTCATCCTCTCCTCTCTCATCCTCTCCTCTCCTCTCTCATCCTCTCCTCTCTCATCCTCTCCTCTCCTCTCTCTAGTCCTCTCCTCTCCCATGATGTACAATCTGCACAGACCCTTTAGTCCCTCCCGCGGTGCTTCATTTTTGCTGTCATCATCTCATCTGATCACGAGGGGATTAGTCTGAGTCGTCCCCGCTGCTCCGACTGTGCGGGGAATGAACAGCAGGATATTCTGTATATGAACAAGAATAAAGCCTCCCTCTCTCTGACTGTTGGCCACCGTGCAGAGCGAATGTGTTTACGAGACAGAACGTGTATTTAAGGGGTGTGTTTGCCGTCGCCTTGTAAGGGCTGAGCATTTTGATGTTGTCTGTATGTTTGTGCGTGCCACAAAATTGTTTCATGTAAGTGAATTTACCTGTTTATGAGTACGTATCAGCATAGTATCATACTCATATGTCTTCAATAGAATAAAAAGGAAAGTTTCCATTTCTCAAACCAAGGTATTAGAAAAAGTATTATTTGTGCGTGTAGGTACTGAAACTCTAGTGTGGAAACATTTTCCAATAATACCCAGCTCTAATTTTCAAATATAATTTCTCCTGCATATTTCTTTCATTCTACTTATTGTTTCTCCTGCTTTCTGTCTCGCTCTGTATTGAGTGTGTGTGTGTGTGTGTGTCTGCATTGTTTCATTAGTGCATGTGTGTTTTCTTGGCTGGCTGTAGCAATTAAGAGGGATACTGCTTTGTGCCCACTCCCAAACAGATTGGGCGAAAGGAGGACAGTAAAAATGAGTGAGTGAGAGTGAGAGAACACGAGACAGAGCTGCAGGAAGAACAGAGCCGGGTGGGATGAAAGGCAGAGCGGCAGGTAGAGGCCGAGCCTACTTTTAGGAGCAGCCCAGCGGGGTTAACTGAGCCCATGACGATAAACTCTCCCCGTCTACTTCCTTCCCTCTCACTTGAAGGTGAACTCCTTTTGGTTTTTGTTGTTTCGGCTTTTGAGCTCGTGACGGGGAGACGGAGCGTTCAGGGACTGAGGCTGGATGACAAAAAAGTGAAGGCAGGTCTTAATGTTTGTCTCACTCACACACGGTGTATATGCTACAGTATTATCCCGCTCACGTGTGTACATGATGCACAGTGCAAATGATCCCACTCCTCAACAACACACGGGACATGTGCAGTCTCTCCTGGACTTTATTGATGATTATAATTACACTACAGTGAATATATTTCAGTAGCACAAAAACGACCCTCACCTCGCTACAGCAGTTTCATTTTTGCACACATCTGCCATCTTTGTGGCAGGTAATGGAGGCTATTCTAAGCTTGACTACTTCAGCATAGACTATGATGATGGACCTAACAGCTCATAAGTATAGCTAGGTACCACAATTATCTACTGTGGCATCAACCAATCAACCACTGTTACAATGAAGCACACACTCAGTGTTGTTATGGCTTTTAGAGGTTACTGAATGAAGGAGCTCTCTCTGCAAATTGTTCCCCCTTGAGGTTAAAACAGGAACATGCTTACCTGCGTCCTTGCAGCACCAGATGCACAACGGATGGAGGTTCAGTGACAGACAGTTGCATTGCCTGTCTGTTCTGTTTTTAATGAAGGAGCCTGGCTTGGTGTTGCACAGCGAAAGACGGTGTAGAAAAGGAAAAACTCCTTTCCGTGCTCTCGTCCCGTTGTTGGTTCCATGACAGCACCATCTGTTACTGGCTGGTGTTCAGGCTGGCCTTAACCAAAACACACAGACTGTTTGTGCTTTATCTTGGAGGTTGCGCTGACATGATAACACAACATCTCATATTCAGGCGTGAGTTGGAACACAGCTTGGCAACATGAATGGCATAAGAAATAAATTGGTCATATTCCAGTTAAATTGAAATCTGCTTCAAGGTAATATTTAAGCTGTGCATTCAGGTGTATGTCCTTATTGGTAACACTTTATCTGTCAATTTAAACACAGATTGTTTGTTTGCAATGTAACATTATCAGAGATTGGCGAGTATAAAAGCATGAATGCCGATGTACTGATCGCATATTTTACTGAATATTGGCGGATAAACTATTAGTGTCATAGTTTAAAGTCTAGTAGTATTACGCCAGACGTTATATTGAGTTAAGCATCCTGCCGCCATCTCCATTCTTACTTCCCTTTAAGGCGGCCTTGCTTTGTTGTGAATCCATATTAATTATCCATTATCAGATTAAATCATTTTTAATGTCTATTAGACATGCTGCGAGACTCCCCCACTCATGCAAATGAGTGCTGCTCACCAAGGGAAGTGTTTCCTTCCGTATCATGAGGTGATGGCTGCTGATCATTTGCTGTGTAGAAAGGTCACGGCGGGAACAAAGTGAAATGTTATGATCGTGGTGATTCAGAACAGCTCTCAGGTCTCAGTTACAGCGCAGAGAGACTAATGCGGACAAACAGGAAATGCAAAACAGGGGAACTGATGGCAACATGTGCAGAAGGATCCGGATAGGTCTTTGTGCTGCCACAAGGTTCCTGACGCGTCACTCTGCCTGAGGATGCGCTTTCACACCTTTAGAGGACATCTGACAACGCCTCCGAGTGCAGAGGAGTAATGTGACATCTGGATGTTTATTGTGTCCTGTTGTCTACTATTTAAGTGCAGGTGTTTCAGACCAGTGCATCTCTGGATACCATGTTATTGCAATTCAATTTGTTGCAATGTAACTTGTTTTAAGCTTCATGTTTGTAGACACATTCTATATCGTCATCATCTTATCAAACCAAAACCAAGACCAAAACCAGATAATGAAACTAAAATACATCCCAGACTGTATTCTCACAGATAAGTGAAAAATACAAGTGACAAATTCATCTCAAATCAATGTCCACTTACGAGCTTTTTCTGGGCTTTCTGGGTGGAATCATCATCATAAGTGTAAAGGGTCAGTACCCTGACAGAACTACTGTCTCGTTATAAAGATGACCTTTGGCGCTGTGATGACACCCGAGGCAGCACCACTAACTGATGAAGTCTGTTGATGGTGGTTAAAGAAGCTCAAAGAAATGTAATAGTTGGATCTTGATTTCAGATTAATTTTTCTTTCCTCACAAGAACAGTCAAGAACCAACTTCTGTTTGCAAATAAAAAAAACATATCACAGATGAGACGGACCTTCAGTTAGCAGCTGTATCAACATAAACTACAGTGCCGGGGGTCACAACAGACTGGTGGTGGCCTCTAGTCTCCGTGCCGGCAGGGAGTGAGGCGAGGGGACCGTTTCCACCAGCCTGCTGTTTATCTCATTTTCTGTAACCAGTGTAGCATGATATCATGGTGGAATTAGCAGGATAGCTAGCTACCTTGCCAGCCGCTAAATAAGTCCAATTGAACAACTTAATGCTTCATCCACTCACTATTGTCACAGCGTAGGAAAGCTCATAGTCCCATATAGCATCCAATAAAAAGGACGCGTCAAGGCAACGAGTAACAGCCAATCACAGAGAAGTTGACCCTGCGTCAGGTTTTCGACATTCGGAAGTGTGTGCAATTTCATCAAAAAGCAGGTTGGAAAAATGCCAAACTTCAGTGACAACTTTGTTATTTATTAGTCAGCCACTTACTCACTGAACGTCAGCCAACATTTATTATCCATCCAATTGGACGGTAATTTAGGCAGTCAGCTGCTTAGTCTGCCAGCCAACTTTTTATGCAGTCGCACAACAAGCTCACTTATCCGCTCATTACATAATCAGTCACAACAAAATACACTGCCTTTTTTATTCATTTATCCGATTACAAACTGAGAATTGCACCTTAGTCACTGCATGAATTGTCAAAATTGCCGTTATTTTTCTAACATGCTGAAATGACTGGGTGACTCAGTGAATATTTTTTTTCCTGTCACC